ATAAATAAATATATAAACAATTAATAGTGCAGTTCTATATATGGCATATTTATTTATTTATTGTTTTATTTATGCAGGAATTTATACATTTACTTACTTATTTATTTGTGTTTATTTATTTGTTTTGTAGGTTTTGCCCTCCTTATAAAAACAACTGAAATTCGTAAATTATATATTTTTCTTGAATGTGTGATGTATATATCTTCTCTGTATCTTTTTTTATTATATATATATATATATATATATATATATATATATATATATATATATATATATATATATATATATATATATATATATATATATATAATATATAATAATATATAATTATTAGCCCACCAGTTTGTTTTTTCCCCAATTTCTGTTTAATGGAGAGAAAAAAATTCTACACATTTTCAAACATTTTAGTTTTAATAACTCATTTCTAATAACTGATTTATTTTATTTTTGCCATGATGACAGTAAATAGTATTTGACTAGATTTTAAAGGATTTGAAAATGAAGGAAGGTATTTTTCAAGACACTTCTATACAGCTTAAAGTGACATTTAAAGGCTTAACTAGGGTAATTGGGTTAACTAGGCAGGTTAGAGTAATTAGGCAAGTTATTGTATAATGATGGTTTGTTCTGTAGATTATCAAAAATAGCTTAATGGGGCTAATAATTTGACCTTAAAATGGTGTTTAAAAAATTAAAAAATGCTTTTATTCTAGCCAAAATAAAACAAATAAGACTTTCTCCAAAAGAAAAATATTATCAGACATACTGTGAACATTTACTTGTTCTGTTAAACAACATTTGGGAAATACTTAAAAAGAAAAGAAAATCCAAAGGGAGGCTAATAATTCTGACTTCAACTGAATATTTATTTTTCTTCAATTTTCTTCTTTATACTGTACTGTGATTGTATATTTTCGCATTATTCATTAAAAATATCTCATCTTCATGTTCTTTGTAAATTCTACAGCCACAAATGTACAGTTAAGAATTTAGTAATTATTTAAATCTAATTTCAGTATCCGAAAATAAGAAAATAAGCAGAACTATGTCTATTTATGTGCTGTAATTAACTCTTAAATGTTTTAACCTCAAGTTAATGTTCATTATTATTTATTTTTCTGTCTTACTCTCTCTTTGTATCCTTTTTCAGTTGACAATTTATGCCATTAATGTTGTGCATTGAATATAGATTATTGTTTACATGTATTTTAGTTGCATTAATAAAAATAATAAAAAACATCTTTAATCTGAGCTTGACTTGTAAATGCCGGTTTAGCTTTTTCAATGTGTATTGTTTGATTTAAAATTCTTTCTCTTTCCTATTTTCCATTTCATTGTTGAGAATGCCATTACTTTGTTGATAGTTATACTTTAATAGCCTATTGCAGTGGTGTCCAAACTCAGTCCTGGAGGAACCTGCAAAGTTCCAACCCCAATAAGACACACCTTGGCTACCTAATCAAGCTCCAGACTTTCTAGAAACATCAGTGCAGGTGTCTTGAGGCAAGTTGGAGCTGAATTCTGCAGAACACCAGCCCTTCCAGGATCAATTTTGGGCACCCCTTGCCTATGTGAACACTTGTATATACCGTTTTTGACCATTAGCCAATAATTAAACAACTATTCTATGCTAATTGGTCACAGACCCTAATCAAACACACCTATCAAGGTCTTTAGCCATGAAAGACTCAAATATAGAGAAACAGTAAAAAAAAAAAATCAAGCCCTAATAAGAGTTTTTTCATTAATATTTGCTAACCCTTTGACCCAGGGGTGCAAAATTACAACATTGATATATATAAAAGTTTCAAGTCAACAAATATTGAACCATGCATTTATCTACATAGTAATTCACATATTATTTTACCTACTCAAATGTTTATAGTTTCAATAAAAACTCGACTAATTTGTCAAGGCCTCCTTCCATGTGAATCAAATTGCTAATAACAACAACTTATTTTAACATATATCCAGACGCCATTCATTAAATCAATGAAAGCAAAGGGATTTAATTCACATTAAGTGTGGCTTGAGACTTCAACAGGATGACACAACCATGAAGCATAGAAGACGAATCATATATTATTATGATATATTCGCACTATACAATGCAAGTCAAACATTTCTTAAATATTCCCAACTACATAGTTGATCTTGTTAAGGCACATCCAGTACATCACACAGCAAACTAATAATGCAAAACGGTTCCAAAACAATAGTACAATGCACATCCGGCAGTGATGCTGAGAGTAATATTAAAGATTCATCTGTAAACAATCATCACTTTTCGTACTGAAAGATAAACTACAATACGAACAGAAAATTACCTGATAACGTGTAATAATACAGCAAGATTACTGTCATTTTGGCACAGAAAACACCATTTCATGACACTTATTTACATATTTAAGGAGACAGTTCACCTGAAAAATCAAACAATATTTACTCAACTTGTTCCAAACCGGTTTGAGTTTCTTCTGTTGAACACAAAAGTTTACCCTAATAAAAGACATTTGCTGTTTATTCAAACTATTTATTTAATATGAGCTGAACCAACACTACTTGTGTTAAGTTTTTTTGGGGACAACTTAAATGTTTTATGTTCAATCCAATTAAACTTGTAATGATTAAGTCAACTTAATCCATTTGTGTTGGGACAACATGTAGAAATTGTGTGGAACCCTGCATTTTTTACCGTGTATTGTTCTACTCATTTACCTTCAATGTTTTCATACAGCACAGGGGTCAAATGTTGTTGTGTTTGTTTGTGCTGCACAAATAAATAAATGACAATTCAATTTGAATGAATGAGGGAAACCTGTAACCGTTGATTTCATGTATTTTTTCCTACAACGGATGTTAATGTCCACAGGTTTCCAATATTTTACCAAATATCTTCTGTTGTGCTCAAAAGAAAAAACAAAAACTAAATAAAAAGTAATATTAAAATAAAATCTAGAACCACTCAAGCATGACTACCCTGTTCCTGGAGGCAGACCATATTTTTGTTTTTATATTAAAATAAAATACTTAACCCACCGGTCCTAATGCACCTAACCCGCTTTGAGCTGGGATTGAATCGGCGATTCTTTGTATGAGTCAGTTGCTCTAACAAGAAGTCTAAAGACCATTACCTCTAGTGTCTGTCACTAGAGCACCTTTAGAGGTCAGAATAATGAGGTTTACCTGCATAGCACTTCGCTAGCTGGCCTCTGTTACATATATATAATATTAAAATAAAAATCCAGTACCACCCAAGGATGACTAAACTAGTGTGTCCCAACCCTGTTCTAGGAGGCACACCGTATTTTTTTTTTTGTATATTAAATAAAATAAATGTAACCCACCGGTCCTACTGCACCTAACCCGCTCTGAGCTGGAATTGAACCTCCGATTCTTTGTATGGGAGTCAGTTGCTCTAACAAGGAGGCTTAAGACCATGGCCTGTCACTAGAGCACCTTTAGAGGTCAGAGGAGTGAGGTTTACCTGCATAACACTTCACTAGCTGGCCTCCGTTACACTTACGCCCCTAAACCTCACTCCCATCCCGGACGAGCCCCAATGTGTAACCCACTGGTCCTACTGCACCCAACCCGCTGTGAACGGGGATCGAACCTGAGATTCTTTGTATGGGAGTCGATTGCTCTAACAAGAAGTCTAAAGACCATGGCATCTAGCATCTGTCACTAGAGCACCTTTAGAGGTCAGAGGAGTGAGGTTTACCTGCATTCACTAGCTGGCCTCCATTACACTCACACCCCTAAACCTCACTCCCATTCCGGACTTGCACCCATGTGTAACCCACCGGTCCTTCTGTACCCAACCCACTCTGAGCTGGAATCGAACCGCCGATTCTTTTTAAGGAAGACTGTTGCTTTAACAAGAAGTCAAAAGATCATGGCCTCTAGCATCTGTCGCTGGTGCACCTTTAGAGGTCAGAGGAGTAAGGTTTACCTGCATAGCACTTCACTAGCTGGCCTCCGTTACACTCACCTCGCTAAACTTCACTCCTAACTCGGACGAGCCCCCTCGTGTAACCCACTGGTCCTACTGCACCCAACCTGCTCTGAACTGGGATCGAACCTGCGATTCTTTGTATAGGATTCGGTTGCTCTAACAAGAAGTGTAAAGACCATGGCCTCTAGCATCTGTCGCTAGAGCACATTTAGAGGTCAGAGGAATGAGGTTTACCTGCATTCACTAGCTGGCCTCCATTACACTCACACCCCTAAACCTCACTCCCATTCCGGACTTGCACCCATGTGTAACCCACCGGTCCTACTGCACCCAACCCGCTCTGAGCTGGAATCGAACCGGCGATTCTTTGTATGGAAGACGGTTGCTCTAACAAGAAGTCTGAAGTCCATGGCCTCTAGCATCTTTCGCTAGTGCACCTTTAGAGGTCAGAGGAGTGAAGTCTACCTGCATAGCATTTTGCAAGCTGGCCTCCGTTACACTCCCCACGCTAAACCTCACTCCTATCCCGGACGAGCCCCCACGTGTAACCCACTGATCCTACCAAATCCAACCCGCTCTGAGCTGGGATCAAGCAGGCGATTCTTTGTATGGAAGTTGGTTGCTCTAAAAAGGAGGCTAAAGACCATGGCCTCTTGTCATCTGTTATATAATCATTATATATTCAGTGGCATAAAATGCTCTCAAAATGATAATAATATTGATTATCACCACAATTTCTGTGATAATCTATAACACAACAAAAATTCCTTATCGTGACAGGCCTAACACCAACAGTACACATTTTGAATGGCTGCTTTTTCTAACCCATTAACTTCAGGTTTTGGAGTCTCTTCTTGTGTTCTGATGAGTTGATTCAGCTCATCTTTGATTAGGGAGAGGTTAAAAGACAGTTGGTGTGCCTTCAGCAACAGGGTTGGGAAACACTGGACTAAATGATGCATAATTTTCATTTTTAAGCAAAGTGAACTATCCCCTTAATACTAGTTTCTCCCTTAGATCACTGATTATAGGAAACAAGCTTTAATAGTCGCTTTAATCTGAGATTTAATGGATTCAGTGCTCATTAAAGGCTCAATATTTACAAACACACACGCACAGGTTTGTATCTCAGTGTGAGGAGCCTCGAGGTTTAAATCGGTCCCATCCGGCTCTATTCTTCCAGCTGTTTTCAGGAAGCAGCAGGTCTTTCAATCTGTCTGGCAGTGGCAGGGCTTTGACCTTCTCCTCAAACGGCCAGGGCAGAAGACAGTTGCGGATCAGTCTCCTGCAAAGGCACCTGAGCGGCATGGGTTGGCTTTCTCGCTCCTCTAGTTTGCCGTAGAGCTCCAGCAGGGGCTCATGGATCGAGCCCTGCTCCAGCACAGGCAGTTGAGAGCGAGGAAAAAGAGGAGGGATGGCCGGAGAGCAGATCCTGGCTAAATCCAAAAGCACTTCGGCTTTGGCTAAAACATCCGCCACTTCTGCAGCATCAACAGCTTCACGGAGAGCTTCAGCAAGTCGGGTGAATATCAGCTGTGGTCCTGTCCAGTAGGAGGCGCTGTGGTGAGAGCAGACGAAGGAGGCACTGTGTTGGAGAAGGAGAACTGTTAGGGGAAAAAGCAGGTCGAAGTTTTCCAAGCTGGTGTAGGTGAGGGAATGCTCCCACACTTCCCCGTCGGTGGCGCTCAGGCAGCAGCTTGGACCAGCGCCGTGGCTGATCAGAAGATGTGCCACATGGGTACAGAAGTGGCCGATTTCTTTGGCATCCTCCACACTGCTCTCTAGAGCCTCCTTCACTAGGAAGGCCAGAGAAGACATAGGGGTCTCGCCGTCTTGTGTGGTCGCGTTCACATCTGCACCTGCATGGGATGGATTAGTGTACATTAACCCCTGTGTATTGTTTAAATTGACTACTCTTTCGTTATGTTCGGGGATGTTTTTGCCCCATTGACTTCCATTATAATAAAATGTTTTGATTGCAAAGCCATGACAGCACATAATCATGCATTCTTGATTGCTGCTGGTTTTCACTGATTACTGTTAATAATCTGTTGGTAGCAGTAACTCTTTAGATAGGTCTGTGCTAGACACGTTTCAGGCTTTTATAAGGAGTTCTATGGAGTAAAGCCGCAGATTATAGTGTGTGTGCATAAATACACTTACTGTTTACTGTTTACAGTGTTCTGAGAGCTGAGCAGCTAATTTAGATTTTCTCAAACATATCAAGGTACTGTAAGCGTGCAAAGGTCTCTCTCTCTCACACACACACAGACACACACACACATACACACACATACACACACAGACACACACACACACAGACACACACACAGACACACACACGCACGCACACGCACACACACACACACGCACACACACACACACGCGCACACACACGCGCACACACACGCGCACACACACGCGCACGCACACACACGCACGCACACACACGCACACGCGCACACACGCACACGCGCACACACGCACGCACACGCACGCACACGCACGCACACACACGCACACACACACAATAATACAATGAAGAACGCATGATTATATGCCATCTTTTCAATCAAAAGATGTCATTATAATTCAAGTCAATGGGGCAAAAACAGCCCTGGACAAAATGAAAGGGTAGTCAGTTTTTCCAGATTGTATTGCTGGGTTTTTTGCAAAAGAACTTTCCAAAAGTATGTCAAAATACCAAAAATCATTCCATTTTATTAAACACAGAGAAGGCTGTGGCCAAATTAAGACCCAGAGTTAGGGCTGGACAATAATTTGATAACAATATATCTCACAATAGATTTTCTTTTTTAAATAAAGGTGATATGATTTTTAACCCTATTTCCGGTATTTTGATATAAATTTATATATATATATATATATATATATATATATATATATATATATATATATATATACACACACACACACACACACACACACACACACACACACACACACACACATATATATATATATATATATATATATATATATATAAGATCCTATACATTGTACCATTTGTCACTGAATGACATTTTATTTTTTTTAAAAGTTGTAAGAGCCTGGAGGTATTATAGACTTTGCCAATTCAGTTTGTAGACTTTTATAAAGTACAGACATCTATTGTGTGCATTCTTGGCAGTTTTTTCCTTGCTTTTTAAAATTGTCCACATCGATAGCGACCAAAATTAAGAAATATATCATGATATAAAATTTTTGCCATATCGTCCAGCCCTACCCAGATTGGATGAAAACATCCTCAACAGCACATAAGGGTTAATAAGATCACCGCAAAAATGCCAGTTCTGTCATCGTTTACCCACCATTCACTTGTTCCAAACCTTTAGGACTTTCTTTCTTCTGTTAAACATAAAAGAAGATATTTTTAAGAATGTAGGAAACTTGTAACCATCCACTTCCAAAGAATTAGTTTTTTGGAAGTTGATGGTTACAGGTTTTTAGCTTTCTTCAAAATATCTTCTTTTATGTTAAACTGAATAAAATACATTAAAGGGTTTAAACTATCCCTTTAAAGCACTATCAAAGTCTTTGTGAAATCTAAATTTACTATGTTTACTTTGCTAGAGCACATTGTTATTCTTTAGGTGAACAATTAATCTGTGAAAGTTAAAAAATGTATATTTGTTCTGGTAATCTAAGTTTTGTTTCATGATAAATGAAGCTGAATATATGATTGGAGAAAGTCAAAAATATGTATAGTGGGAGTCTTTATGTTGATATTTACAAGACAAAATATTCCTCAGTACATTTGATTCAATTAAGTATTAATAAGTAATCTCCCATTTTTTAAGTCTATAAATATATAAATTATACACAATTTAATACATTTATAAATATATATAGTTGAAGTCAGAATTATTAGCCCCCCATTTATATTTTTTTCTTTGATAAACATAATTTGGGAAATATTTTAAAGAGCAAAAGTATTTTTCACAGTGTGTCTGATAATATTTTTCCTTCTGGAGAAAGTCTTATTTGTTTTATTTCGGCTAGAATAAAAGCAGTTTAAAAAAAAAAAAAAACATTTTAGGGACAAAATTATTAGCCTCTTTAAGCATTATATTTTTTGATAGTCCACAGAACAAACCATCGTTATACAATAATACCCTAGTTAAGCCTTTAAATGTCCCTTTAATCTGAATAGAAGTGTCTTGGAAAATATCTAGTCAAATATTATTTACTGACATCATGGCAAAGATAAAATAAATCTGTTATTAGAGATGAGTTATTAAAACTATTATGTTTCGAAATGGGTCGGAAAAGTCTTCTCTCCGTTAAACAGAAATTGGGGAAAAAAAACAGGGGAGCTAATAATTCAGGGGGGCAACTAATTCTGACTTCAACTGTACATATATATATATATACAGTATACATACATTATATACATACATTATATATATATATATATATATATATATATATATATATATATATATATATATATATATATATATAAAAATTATTAATCTACAATAAAAATTATGCAATTTATGGGTCATAATTCATAAATGTAATACCAAATTTTGAATAAATCTAAAACATTAAATATATATATATATATATATATATATATATATATATATATATATATATATATATATATATATATATATATATGCGCACCACAGGTCATATGAAAAAAAAAAATAGATTTAAAATAATTAAACTTAATATAATACTACATATTTACAGCATATAAAGTACATTTTAAAACCTTTTCTCAGAGATGGGTTGCAGCAGGAAGGGCATCCGCTGCGTAAAACCTTTGCTGGGTAAGTTGGCAGTACATTCGGCTGTGGCGACCTCAGACTAATACAGAGACTAAGCCGAAAAGAAAATGAATGAATGAATTTCAAAAGCTTAATTGTGCGTTTGTATACACATACACAATATCTATTATGCATACAATAGTTAACAGTGGGCAACGCAGTGGCGCAGTAGGTAGTGCTGTCGCCTCACAGCAAGAAGGTCGATTGGTCGCTGGTTCGAGCCTCGGCTCAGTTGGCGATTCTGTGTGGAGTTTGCATGTTCTCCCTGCGTTCGCGTGGGTTTCCTCCGGGTGCTCTGGTTTCCCCCACAGTCCAAACAGTCACATGCGGTACAGGTGAATTGAGTAGGCTAAATTGTCCGTAGTGTATGAGTGTGTGTGTGTGGATGTTTAGCAGAGATGGGTTGCGGCTGGAAGGGCATCCGCTGCGTAAAAACGTGCTGGATAAGTTGGCGGTTCATTCCGCTGTGGTGACCACAGATTAATAAAGGGACTAAGCCGACAAGAAAATGAATGAATGAATGAGTAGTTAACAGCATAATTGTTATTTTTTGTGTGTGTATATATATATATTGAACACCATATTTGCTAAATAAAAAATAAACGTTTTCAAGTTTATTTTGCACAAAATATCTTAAATTAATATTTTATAGAAACTACCATTTTTGTCTGATGTACATCTATTATTGACATTTCTTAATATAATAAAATAAAGGGAAGCACCTCTTTCTAGAAGCAGCTGTATGTTGTCCATGTTTTTGACCGTGAGTCCATCGCTGCTGGCCAGAGCATGAAGCAGTGCTGTTTTTCCTGCAAAATTGCAAAGCAAGCATGTGCCAAACGACAGAGTAACAATCACATATAAACAGAGTAAGAAACCACAAATGTTCTATTTTGCTAGGTCGCTTAGATAAATCACCGTTCTTGTCTTTTGCATTCACATCAGCACCAAAATCCAGAAGCACACGGAGACACGGCAGCTTATCAGCCTCCTCACTGGCCAAGTCAATAGGGCTGCTTTCATGAATCTAATGCAAAGTAAAACACACTGAATGCATCAATACATGACTATTGTGCTACTTTATATAACATACAGCAGTCAACAAAAATAGAGAAATCAAGCACACAGAAACAGCTTGTATATTACAATTGAATTAAATGTGGTGTGATAAGGGTTGAATTACCAATACATCGCATTAAAATATAATTTGCAATCTACAGTAGTACATGAGACTAATAGTTTGTTTGCTTCTGCTTAAAATTCTGGTGGTACTTAATTTTTATTTTAACTTTATAAGGTAAAGTGCCATTTTGAACTAAATTGATTTGAATATTTATATATTACAATTTACAGTTGAAGTCAGAATTATTAGCCCCCCTGAATTATTAGACCCAGTTTATTTTTTTCCCCAATTTCTGTTTAACAGAGAGCAGATTTTGTTCAACACATTTCTAAACATAATAGTTTTAATAACTCATTTCTAATAACTGATTTATTTTATCTTTGCCATGATGACAGTAAATAATATTTGACTAGATATTTTTCAAGACACTTCTATACAGCTTAAAATGAAATTTAAAGGCTTACCTAGGTTAATTAGGGTAACTAGGACGTAGAGTTGCACAATTAATTGTTAAAAGATCGCGATCTCGATTCGACCCCCTAGACGATCTTAATCCAGCATTTCTACGATTCTGTCAATCATGTTTCAAGTTCAGAAGAGAAGAAAAGGCGGCTGCACGAGTCTTTTCATTGTTTCACACAAGTTGCTCAGTGACACCTCCAAATAAAGTTGAATGAGTCACATAATGTACTTGTAAGGTATAATTCACCTAATTATGTCATTTTTGTCTTTATATAATGATGTTTTCGCGGCCGGGAAAATCACACGTGACGTGAGCTGCTGACCGTGAGCCGTTATAGAGAGGGCGAGCGCGCTCTACTTAATAATAGACGCGCGCGTCTACTTTAGTGAACAGAACCTGCATAAGTTGCGAGTAAAATGTAATACATTTGTAAATAATGTTCTGTTTGTGGCACAGAGTGATCGTTTGGAAGCCGCGCGCGAAGTATGAACAAGTGCTTAGCAGTCAAAATGAAACCGAAAGTGTGCACTTCATTTAAATGATCATATCGCATTTTAGAATTATGATTACGGCAAGCATTTGAAATGTTTTTTCTTTCATAGTGAACCCACAGTTGTGCATGAAAATAAATGTTTACAATGTCAGTATAACTACTCTAGCCTATATATTGTTGAATATAATCTGATAATGGCAAATGTCTGATTTTACCAGTCAATAAAATTGTCTAATATGACAGAATGCAAGCATATATCTTAAACATAATAATTCAACATCAGTAAGTAGAAAATAATTTTTTATAAAAACCAGTAGACCTACACATAATATTATTATCGATGTTGTGCCATATGTTTGTTTTTACCATACCTTTATTTTACATCTACAGAATCGAGAAAATCGTGATCTTTATTTTAAGCAAAAAAATCGCGATTCTCATTTTAGCCAGAATCGTGCAGCTCTATTAGGACGGTTAGGGTAATTAGGCAAGTTATTGTGTAATGATGGTTTGTTCTGCAGACTAGAGAGAAAAAAAAAAAGGAAGCTTAAAGGGGCTAATAATTATGTGCTTAAAATGTTTTTTATTTATTTTTTGTTTTTTTTATAGCCGAAATAAAGCAATTTAGACTTTCTCCAGAAGAAAACATGTTATCAGATATGCTGTGAAAGATTCCTAGCTCTGGTAAAAATCATTTGGGAAATATTAAATAAATAAATAAATAAATAAAAATAAATAAAATAAAATAAATATATAATTCTGACTTTAACTGTACGTGTCTAAGTAATAGCTATTAACTTTTTTTTTTTGGTGGGGCCAGTGAAAATTTTGTGCAGGGCAAGTAAAAAATCTCAACCACTGGTCTGATCGGGCCAGTAGAAAAAATCCTTAGTGTTGAACCCTGTATTTCCTAAATATCTAAATATTTCTAAATTGAAATGTGAATATTATAATAGTATATACATTTTAACATATTGATATAATATATTATACATTTACAAATAATAATATATAATAAATATTCTTAAATTGTATGTGTGTGCATTTATAAATTTATCATGAATATACACAGTATGCACACGCAGTATATCAATAAAAACTTACATTTTGTACATTTTGGTCAGGATTAATCATTAAACACCACAAATAAAATGTATTAATTCTCACCCTGTCTCTTTTGTCAATATCAGCTCCACTCGAGATCAACATTCGCACCATGTCTGGTTTGTTTCTCAGTACTGCGATGTGTAAAGGGTTGTAGTACGATACAGGGTCTGAAAACAATAAGACAAAAATATAGATTTGTTTTCCATTATGGTTCCGGGGTGAGTTAGCAACATTGCTTTTAGCATCTACAATACACACCCTCAAAGTTGAGATCAGCTCCGTATCGTAGGAGCACCTGTGCGGCGCTCACTAAACCAAACTCAGCCACTCGAAACAGAGAGTAACTGATTCCCTGCATGAAGACGGGAGACTGCGCCTCTCTGTCCAGCAGCTCGGCCAGAGCCACAGACACGCTTTCCTCTTCATCTTGCCTGTGAAATAAAGAAAAACAAAACATGATTCACAGAAATGTGGAAAAAAATGTATGCAGTTTATGTCCCTTCATCTCTGTAGCGTGAAACTGTGAAAATTTTATTGTTGCATTATCCATCTACAGTTGAAGTCAGAATTAAGTTAATATTTATATTATGATTAATTAATTTAGGTAAGTTAGGCAATTTATTGAAATTAGGCAAGTGATGTATAACAATGCTTTGTTTCGTAGACAATTGGAAAAAAATATATTGGTTAAGAAAGTTAATAATATTGAACATTAAAATGGATTTTAAAAATGTAAAACTGCTTTTATTGTAGATTAAATCAAACAAATAAGACTCTCCAGAAGAAAAAAATATTAAAGGAAATACTGTGAAAAATACCTTGACCTGTTAAACATCATTTGGGAATTATTTTAAAAAGAAAAAAGAAATAAATCACTTTTAAACAAACAAACAAAAAAACATTTTTCTTTTTTAAATATGTGTATTTTTATTTTTACATAAAATTTTTCTTCTGGATAAAGTCTTTTGTTTAGCTTGGCTGAAGTAAAAATAATTACTTACAATTAAAAAAAACAAATGCTAAACTCAAAATAATTAGCCAAGAAATCAAAGCTAACCAATCTTGATTTTGTTAGCTCACATTGCTAGTTTTGTGGTGGACAATTCATCTGTGCATGTCATTAAGTGACTTTTTTTTTGCCCTTCTAATCTTTAACAAAGACTGTAGAATACACAAGACGTTTCACTCATATAGTTTTGAATGGGGGAAAAGTGTTTTGTGGTCAACAAACACACTGGAATCTCACAGACATAATAAATATATCCACGTAAAGCTTGAAATCTGTACTTTTAAATGAGCCAACTACACTTGAAAACAAACTTTTTTTGGTTTTGGGATCTGTATGAAACGAACGCGAGGTCTAGTCCGTCCTGTCAAACGCACATCACATGACAGCAACTACTCAAACACCCACAAATTAGTAAAGAGTCGCTGTCATTTCTGAAGTTAGACTTGTTGAACTTTAAAACTTCAAAATGTAGTTGAAACCTGATTAGCTTAAGATACTTTTTAAAATTAAACTTTAAATAATTTCAAGTAACATAAAAATATGAATTTGTCATATATATTTGTACAGAGTATTGCTCTAACTGTGGAGCTGCATATTTCTTTACGGTTTATGACAGAAGGTCAAACTCGGGCGGCAACCCAACACAGTTTAGGTTTAACCCTGCTTCAATTCAATTAAGCCGCTGTCTTACTGCACTTTTCAACCCATAGACTTCCATTCATACGCATGCGAATGCGATAGACCAGAAAAGCAAGCTCCTGCGCCAAGATTTTACAGTTTGCTGCATTGGAAACTTCAAGCTTGGTGAACTCCACCTGCGAAATCGTATCAGTTGACTGCGTGAGACCATTTATTCATTCATTTTCTTCTCGGCTTAGTCCCTTTATTCATCTGGGGTCACCACAGCGGAATGGACCGACAACGTATCCAGCATATGTTTTATGCAGCAGATGCCCTTCCAGCTGCAACCCATCACTGGGAAACATCCATACACACTCATTCACACACACATACACTACGGACAATTTAGCCAAACCAATTCACCTGTACCGCATGTCTTTGAAACAGGAGCACCTGGAGGAAAATCACACGAATGCAGGGAGAACATGCAAACTCCACACATAAACGCCAACTGAGCCAGCCTCGAACCAGCGACATTCTTGTTGTGATGCGACAGCACTACCTACTGCGTCGCCCTGCTTGACACCAATCAAGGATCAAAACATGTTCTCTCTGTACAGAAATTTAAAATAAGGATTAATCGCTCTCTTTTTAAAATGTCTAATCATCTTGTTTAATCCCACCCCTTTTTGCATGTTCAAACTCTAGTGTGATCGCACCATTAAACTGCAGTCACACTCCAGTTTGAGCTTGCGAAATTCTGTTATACAGCGATGAGAAAAGAGGTGGGATTAAATAAGATGATTAGACATTAAAAAAAAAAGCGAGCGAGCGAGCGAGCGATTGCTCCAAATTTTACATTTCTGTCCAGAGAGGTAATGTTTTAATCCTCGATTGGTATTACACTGTCCAATGATTTAGTTTCGCAGGTCAGAGAACACCAAGCTTGAACTTTCCAGTGCAGCGATCTGTGAAACTTGTCTCGCTAGCTTGCGTTTCCAGTCTGACGCATTCGCGTGGGTATGAATAGAAGTCTATGTCGAGAAAAGTGCAGTGTGACCGCAGCTTTAGCAGTAGGTGTCAAACAAGCCTGAAGAACTCAAATGGTATGATCAGGTGTGTTTAATTAGAGTTGGAACTAAACTGTGCAGAGCTGCGGCGGAGTTTGACATCCCTGGGCTGGGTCCGAAACCGCCTACTACTCAGTAGGTACTGCATTTGAATTTAAACGTTCTATTTGGCCGTTAGACAAGTACGTTCTATACAGTATGAATGTGAAAAGTATGAAAGGATTTCGGACGTACTACATCCGCCATTTTGTCATGGTCACGTGACCATCTTGCGTCAGTTGCGTCGCTTTACTCCCATTCATGAATTCGCTCGCGGGGCATCGTGGGATAGCGCAGCGTGCATGTGCTGCACACTCTAGAATGCGCACTCCATATATAGTATGGAAATATGCGGTTTCAGACGCAGCCCTGGTCTATGATTTCTATGGCAGGGGTGCTCAGCCCTATTCCTAAAGGTTTACTTTCCTGCAGATTTCAGCTGCAACCTTGATCAAACACACCTGTATTTAATTAACAAGTGCTCCTTCACATCCTACCTAATTTGATTATCTGTGTTTGACCAGGGTTGGAGCTGAACTCTCCATGGAGGTAGATCTCCAGGAGCAGGGTTGAGCCCATCTGCCATAGGAATCAAAGACCAGGGGTGTCAAACTCAGTTCCTGGAGGGCCGCAGCTCTGCACAGTTTAGTTCCAACTCTAATTAAACACACTATGTGAGCTGCTGACCTGCGCTGGTTTTCTCCGTCTGTCCCCAGCACACAAAGCACCGCGTCCACCAGTGGCTGATACTCGTAAACAATCCTCCTGAAGCCATGGAGGAAAGGCATGTTCGGGTCCTGCTGACTCACAGTCTCTTCTCGCTGGAAAACAGCACAGATATGCAAATATCAACATGTTGCCATTCAGGAAAGCACACCATAATATAATTTATTGTAAAGCATAACAGCTTAATAAGACATATCAATGTGATAAACCGCGTTATATGGGATATTCTACCAGAAACATACATGAACTGTCCCTGAAATAAAAACATAAACACACACACACACACACACACACTCTCTTAAAGGAGCTGCATCCCATTTTTACTCGTTACAGACACTTGTTGACTGACTGTTTACACAAAAAGCGTGTGCTTGTACGGGCGTGACATGGAGCTGATCCGCGAATCGCAGCATATTATGACGATGACCAATCAGAGTCACTTGAGGGCGGGCCTTTCAGAAGAACTAGGATATATATCAGTCGTTTTCATGTTAGCTGAGTAGCTGTATGTAATCAAAGTGAGATTTATGAAAAAATAACACGATTTCCTTCAAGTGAAATATGAGCACACATTGCTTTGCATCTTATTAACACAACCAAGCCTTAAAATTACATTCTGAACCACCCCTTTGAAAACATGAGATTATAAATAAATTCAACAATAATTAAATAATACAAATATATAATTCAAATACATTTACAACTGTCGCATGTTTCAGTCAGTCCTGTCACATTTGCACTAGATTTACAATATAATGCGTGCAATACACCTCTGATGTTAATATGACTTAAAGGAAGTGACCTAATTTGATGCAGGAGAAGCTGACAGTGATCAAGAATGCATTCTATCATTGAATTATATGATTTTGTGTATGTTTTCGTATGGTTGTTTTGAGGATGACAAGTGTAATCAGGCCCCGTCACATTTTATAAGTGTAAATGTACGTTTTTGGTAGAATGTCCCATTCATTAGACATTATGGAACACTCTAAAATGCTTAACATTTCTTTATGTACCTAAACATCAACCAGAGAAACCAAAATATTTTGTCAAACATTACTTGAATAAAACACTAACTACTCTGAAAAGATTAATAGTAGTTTTGACAGTAATTTGCGTTAATTACAAGAAAATTTTGATAGAAATTTAATTTATTAATAAAGACAACAAAGCAAAATAGCACACACAGTCTCAGTCAAGCATCACATCTTAACCAACAATAAAAATATCAGCCCTAAAACAAAGAATATAAGACTACACAGGTTTCTGTCATTGAGGTAAAGTTGGTTTTATACTCGCACATTCGTTCAGTGACTTGTAACATGCTCCCTCTATTGTTAACCATGGTACTTTGAATATTCTGTCTGAAATAAAGTTAGTTTTGCATTTGATATTCATTAGACATTTGGTTTCAAACCAATTCAATTCTTTGCTCCTGCTATTGTTTGAGTCAAAACTATGTCAAACGGACATATGTGCCTTTTATGTTGCTTAGGCAAGGTTTTTGAATTAAAAAAATAAAATAAAATTAACCGTATCAAATTATACAACACAACTAGTACCAAAATGTTCAGAAAAACATCATGGTTATTGCACAGGAGTCTGTTTTTTTGGAATTAGGCCTTTATTTATTTTAATATATTTTTCAATAGTTTTAAAATGTTTAACAAAATGTAATAATCTTTTAAACTCTCACACCATTTCAAATAAAATAATCAAATCAACTCTAATAGTCTAAATATTATTCTCTATGATGCAAAATACCTGCTTTTTTTTTACAGTTTTTTTTGTTGTTGTTTTTATATACAGTACTGAATTTATATTTTCAGTATACTGGATATATTGTAAATGCTTAAATGAATTAAACTCTGACACTATTTGGATAAAGAAATTAAATCAACTGTAAAATTGTCTAAATGTTATTCTCTCTGTTGCACAAGACCTGTTTTTTTTAGTCATGCATTTGTTGTTTTTATATACAGTAATGAATCCATATTTTCAGTATATCAGATATACTTTAAATGCTTAAGTTAAGTAAACTATGACACAATTTGAGATAAAGAAATCAAATCAACTCTTAAATAGTCTAAATATTATTCTCTGATGAAGAAGCTTTGCTTTTTACAGTTATGTCTTTATTGTTTTTATATACAGTACTAAATACATATTTTAGTATATCGGATACACTGTAAACACTTACATAAACTCTGACACTATTTAAAATAAAGGAATCAAAGCAACACTAAAATGATCTAAATATTATTCTCTATGATGTACAAGACCTGTTTTTTTACAGTTATGCCTTTGTTGTTTTTATATACAGTACTGAATCCATATTTTCAGTATGTTGGATACATTGTAAAAGCTTAAATGAATTAAACTCTGACACTATTTGAGATAAAGGAATCAAATCAACTCAAAAATTGTCTATATATTATTCTCTATGATGCATAAGACCTGTTTATTTCAGTTATGCCTTTGTTGTATTTATATACAGTCATGAATCCATATTTTCAGTATATCAGATACACTGTAAATGCTAAAAAAGCTAATTAAACTGACGACACAATTTGAGAGAAAGAAAAAAAAAACTCTAAAATTGTCTAAATATTATTCTCTATGATACATTTGCTTTTTACAGTTATGTCTTTGTTGTTTTATAACCCCACCCATTGACTTGTGTCCTCTGTAGTGGACATTGCTTTCCATGAATTTTCTTTGAGCTACTCTGTCAAGTCCTGTTGTACTGTTCAGAGGACATCCTGGGCTTTCTAGTGATATGTAATTTGATTGGCTGGCATGCTAGGAACCACATCTTACACTGCATCCCAGATGGCCGACATACAAAAAAAGCACATTTTATGGGAAGGAGAGAGGTATATAAAAGTTTGCTTTTTAAATTATTTTTAATATTATTATTACATATATATTTGTTTATTAAAGTGTCAGGAACAATACATTTAGATTCCAAAGCAGTTAACTTGTTTGTGTTTCAAAATATCATCCTTTTTTAAATGTCCACTATAGTGGACAACAGGACCATCTTAATGTAATTAATGACTGCATGTTGTAGGAGGCAGAACTGAAGCAGAGAGGATTCTTTATAAGATAGTTGAGGGAGACTCTGACATAGAGTCTGACAATCAGACAATTAGAGAATGACAATCACTCAGTTTTAAATCGCTTTTATGTTAAATTTGTTTTGGATTAACGTCACTTCTTTTTTTTGTTTTTGTTTTGTTTTTGAGTTTGGCTCTCTTTCAGACTAAACTGTTTCAGGAATTTCAATACGAAAGGAAAAAATGGCTTTTGTTTTGTTACATTAATATCGGATTATTATCCCTTTACAGCCATATCCTGTACAGTTTTGTTGTCTGAGTGGCGGTCAATTTGTACTAAATTGGTCCTGTGGTCAACTACAGTGGACATGCTGTAAAATTAAAAATAAAAACAAAAAGTAAAAACTCTAAATTGTAAATTTAGAAAGAAAAAAAGAAAAAAAATTCTTCGGGTCTCAGAAGGATATACAGTACTGAATTCATAATTTCAGTATATTGGATACACAAACACTTAAATGAATCGAACTCTGACACTATTTGAGATAAAGAAATTAAATCAACTCAAAATTGTCTAAATATAATTCTTTTAGATTTTTACAATTTTGTCTTTGTTGTTTTTATATACAGTACTGAATCCATATTTTCAGTATTTCGGATACACTTAAACACTAAAATAAATTAAACTCTGACACCATTTGAAATAAAAGACCAAATCAACTCAAAAACTGTCTAAATATTATTCTCTATGATGCACAAGACCTGTTTTTTACAGTTATGAATACGCGTTGTTTTTATATACAGTAATGAATCCATATTTTCAGCAAATCAGATACACCTAAATGCTTAAATGAATTAAACTGACACCAAGTTATTTGAGATAAAGGAATCAAATCAAAGTTTTTTTTTTAAATATTACTCACTATGACGCACAAGAGCTGTTTTTTATAGATATGGATTTCATATGGTCACTTTTATTTAGTTTTTTTTATTGAAATATTAAGCCTTGTGCAACATAAAGGGCTCATATTTATGCCCATTTGACATAGTTTTGACTCAAACAATAGCAGGAGCAAATAATTGAGTTGGTTTGAAACCAAATGTCTAATGAATGTCAAAACTAACTTAACCACAGTCTGATACCGGCATGCAAGTATGACTTCAAAACAACATTAGCACTATTTATTTGATGGTGAACAGTGTTGTTCTTTGATAGTCATTGGCTGATAATATGATTTCCCTATTTTAAATTTGCAAACAATACTTTTCTAAAATTATAATATTAAGAAGAAAGCGCGAATGTGTGAATATTAAACCAATTTTGACTTACCTCAGTACATTAGAGTCCATTGAAGACCTCAACTGCTTAATAACAATGAACAATCAATCTGTTAAACCGTGTAATAAATTAGAAATTATACATACATAATATACTCTATATATTTACGGTGTATGTATAAGTAACATTCCTCTTCAAGTGTTTAAATAATGCACATTCACGTCAGAGGTTCAGTTTATCAGATGTAACGTTACCACACCTCTAAAAAGAGCGGCCAATTTGACTGCTAGCATAGTTAGCATCACAATGTTGACTAATATTTAACACTTAGTACGATATATTTACAATTAAACCGCCTAATGTAATAGAACATAAACCTAGAATACAAATTTATTCATTCTGTTAGATTCATATTGTTGGATGTTCAATGTGGTGGGCTCTAGTTGTTTGCAAGCTGTTTACCTTTTACTATTATGATTAACGGCTAATCCGAAATTCGAGGTTCCTCATTTTCCCCACATATATGTTATGCGTTTAAATATTCAGGTCACAAATGTAATACTCGTCTATTCTACTGTTTGATATTACATTTTTCTTACCCACTGTAGAACCGGAAGTAATTCTTCCCACATGTTACCTTCAAAATAAAAGTACGTCGGGGAAAGTGTTGCAAAATAAAAGCGTTCCATTAAAACAAAATCAACGAAATTCATTCATTCATTTTCTTTTCGGCTTAGTCCCTTTATTAATCTGGGGTCGCTACAGCGGAATGAACCGCCAACTTATCCAGCATATGTTTTACGCAGGGGATGCCCTTCCAGCTGCACCCATCTCTGGGAAACATCCACACACACTCTTTCATACTCATACACTAAGGACAATTTAGCCTACCCAATTCACCTGTGTCGCATGTCTTTGGATTTGTGGGGGAATCTACGAAATTTAAGTATCATCAAATGTTTGACAGATTAATAAGGATTTATTTTTATAGCCAATAATGTGTGTATGAAAATAGAAAACTACTAAACATGCCTAATATTTAGCTGCAAATCAGTATGTTTGCTGGTTTTATTGTTACATTTAAGACTTTAAAAGTTATCTCTAAAGATATATTAATCAGAAGCATTGACTTATTTATTTTCTAAAAAAAATATCAGTTTAAATAATTGTGCTACAAAACACTGAAACATAAATACAATGATCTATTTACATGTACACTCACCGGCCACTTTATTAGGTAAACCTTACTAGTACCGGGTTAGGCCCTTTTTTGCATTCAGAACTGCCTTAATCATTCGTGGCATAGTTTCAACAATGTACTAGAAACATCCTTCAGAGATTTCGGTCCATTTTGACATGAAAGCATCACACTGTTGCTGCAGATTTATCCGCTGCACATCCATGATGCAAATCTCCTTTTCCACTACATCCCAAAGGTGCTCAATTGGATTGAGAACTGGAGACTGTGGAGGCCGTTTGAGTATGGTGAACTTATTATCATGTTCAAGAAACCAGTCTGCGATGACTCGCGCTTTATGACATGGTGCGTTATCCTCCTGGAAGTAGCCAGCATGTTGTTGTCGCCAAATTCTGACCCTAGCAAAAATCGAGACTCATCAGACCAGGCAACGTTTTTTAAATCTTCAATTGTCCAATTTTGGTGAGCCTGTGCCAGTGGTAGCCTCAGTGTCCCGTTCTTAGCTAACAGGAGTGGCAGTGTGGTCTTCTGCTGCTGTAGCCCATCTGCCTCAAGGGTGCTCTTCTGCAGACCTCGGTTGTAACGAGTAGTTATTTGAGTTACAGTTGTCTTTCTATCAGCTGGAACCAGTCTAGCCATTCTCCTCTGACATCAACAAGGCATTTACGCCCACAGAACTGCCACTCACTGGTAATTTTCTATTTTTCAGACCATTCTCTGTAAACCCTAGAGATGATTGTGCGTGAAAATCCCTGTAGATCAGCAGTTTCTGAAATACTCAAACCAGCCTGTCTGCCACCAACAACCATGCCACATTCAAAATCAATTAAATCACTTTTCTTCCCCATTCTGATGCTCGGTTTAAACTGCAGCATCTTGACCATGTCTAAATGCATTGAGTTGCTGCGATGAGATTGGCTGATTAGAAATTTGCGTTAACGAGCAGTTGAACAGGTGTTCCCAATATAGTGGCCAGTGAGTGTATATACAAATTCACAAGATTTAATTCCTCAGTATTAAAAAAAATAAAAAATCATTACTAATGTTTTTGCTTTATTTATTTATTTATTTATTTTTAAATTGACCCAAAGGAAACTTTTCCACAGATGGGTTGCAGCCGGAAGAGGATCCACTGCGTAAAACATATGCTGGATAAGTTGGCGGTTCATTCTGCTGTGGCGAACCCAGATTAATAAAGGGACTAAGCCGAAAAGAAAATTAATGAATGAATAAATAAATCAGATGTAATATTATAACAAACATATGCCAATGGTCTTAGGAAAATCAACTTAATTAACATGTCATTTTCGCTAAATGAGAACTTCGCATTTACTACCATAACGCTCAATTTAAGACTTTCTGCTCTAATTTAAGAACATCTTAAAGCCTTAAATTGTGAACGGTGTGTGAACTAACACCTTTACGATCCACATAAACCCTGGTATTATCAATAATATCCAAAGTTAACAGTTAATTTATCCTTTAGTTTCAAAATCTTGTATGATGTATCCACACAATGTAAAAACTCTTCTGATGTGAAATCCAAGGAACAGGTAGAAAGACCCAAGTTAAGCTAGTGTGATTACATTTATTAAGTTCAACAAGGCATAAATACAGTAGTGTTATTGTGCAAGCGAACAAAACTTCAGTCTCCAACGTCCTCATTCTCACACACTTACTCAAAAGACACACGACGGTGAATAAAGTATTATATTATTAACATCTCCTCTCTTTTAAGTTACACATTTATGACCACAAAGCACAGTAGCGCACACAGTCTCAGTCGAGCATCACATCTTAACCAACAATAAAAATATCAGCCCTAAAACAAAGATATAAGACAACACCGGTTTCTTACATTGAGGTCAAGTCGGTTTTATATTCGCACATTCGTTCAGAGACAACTTGTGGCACTGTCTCTATATTGTTTATTACGCTACTTTGAATATTCGGTCTGAAATGCCATGTAAACACGACTTCAAAACAACATTAGCTCTATTTATTTGAGTGTGAATATCTTCTGATAGTCTTTGACTGCGAATATGACTTCCCTATTTAGGGATATATTTCTGAAATGATATGATAAAGGAGAAAGTCTGAATGTGTGAATATAAAACCAGCTTTACCTCAATGTCTCCTTCATGGTCCACATGATTTAAACGGTCGTCGCACGTTTACAGTAGGAGTTTCATTGCACGTGATTAAAGCCAGCCTGCATGGAAGTTACTGTTAGCGAAAGCTTTATTTGTCATGTTTACTTCTGCTCTCGTCTCCAGATTATCACCATCCCGGAGGCGTCAGAGGAGGCCAGAAGGCTTTCGTCGCAGTTGAAGCTCACGTCCAGAACGGGCCCGCTGTGACCCTGCAGCTTGTTTACGATGGCCTTAGTGTTGCGCTCCACGTCGAAAAAGTAAACGCATGCATCCTCGCTGCCAGTGACTGTATAAGAGGGAACAGGAGAAATGAGTTACTATAGTCTTGATACAAAACCACAGATAGTTCATGTAAATCAAGTCATTCATTGTTCATTATTGTTCATTCATCTTATCATGTTAAATCACAGTGCATTGACTAATGTTAAAGGTTCAGGACACCCTGGAGAACTTTTTTTTTATATATTAACAGATTTGTGTGTGTTGAGCATCAGATAAGGCAATGTTAGCACCTGTCCGCTTTAATTGTGGGGAAAACTGGATAATTTTAAGCTTTTGTCAGCTAATTTCAGCTTCCGGGTTTAAAATGATTTTTAGGGCGGGATCAAAATCTGCGACGTAGCAAAGGCCTGCAAGTGCAATGATGACGCGTCGGTTTCTCATTATTATTCATAGCGGAGTTTTCTTATCCTATGAGAAGAGCCGGCTGCTTAATTATTCATGAGACCTGCCAGAGTCAAGCCCGAGCTGTGAGACACGGACCCCCACGGCACACAGTATTTAGCCATTCATAAAGGCTTATGTGTGTTTGTTTCCATGATCCACAGGGTTTGTTGCATGTTTTTCCCCGCGATCTTGTTAGGGCTGATCATACAGCAAAGCTGTGTGTGTGCTGCAAGCATTTTTGTCGAGAGAACAGCACGAGAATTAGAGAATGGCAGACGCTGTCTTTTATCAGGAGTTCGTTCACATTCAGACACATCACTGTGCTGCTGTGTTTGCCTAAATCCGCCAGATTACCAGCAGGGCTAATGGTTAAAATAGACAGGTCAGGAGACCTGCTGCACTGAGTCTGCTGGATACGGGGATTGAGGGAGAAGTCCTCATTTATAGGGTTTACATGAACACACTTATCTTTATAATGATATAAAATGTGGTTATGTGTATATGAAATTACGAATAACAAATGTAGCAGGGCATTAAATCACTGTTCATTTCTTTGCATTTTAACTTTGTAAACTATAAACTCATGCGTCTCCTCACGGTTTGTCTCAGTTTGTGAGCTAACTGACAACAAAGTTGTTCGCTCACGTTCTCCCCTGCTGGCTACGCCCACTCCTGCCCGATGCTCGCGGAGCTCCACGCCCATTAATCATGCATCTTTTGAAAAAATTCTGAAGTAGACTTTAACCGAAAGTGGGGGGTGTCATGGCCCTTTAACTAGAATGCATTTGAAGTTTAATAATGCACTAGTAAATGCTGACCTACGATAAATAAATGCTGTGCATACACTCACTGGCCACTTTATTAGGTACAACTGCTTGTTTACACAAATTTCTAATCAGCCAATCACATGGCAGCAACTTAATGCATTGAGGCATGTAGACATGGTCAAGAGGCTCTGCTGCAGTTCAAACTGAGCATCAGAATGGGAAAGGAAGGTGATTTAAGTGACTTTGAACGTGGCATGGTTGTTGGTGCCAGACGGGCCGGTCTGAGTATTTCAGAAACTGCTGATCTACTGGGATTGGTCCGGAAAATAGGAAATATCCAGTTAGTGGCATTCTGTGGGCAAAAATGCCTTGTTGATGCCGGAGCGGAATGGCCAGACTGGTTTATGCTGATAGAAAGGCAACAGGAGCTCAAATAACCACTTGTTACAACTGAGGTCTGCAGAAAAGCATCTCTGAACACGTCCAACCTTGAGGCAGATGGGCTACAGCAGCAGAAGACCACACCGGGTGCCACTCCTGTCAGCTAAGAACAGGAAACTGAGGCTACAATTCACACAGAGTCCCCAAAATTGGACAACAGAAGATTAGAGAAACCTTGCTGGTCTTATGAGTCTCGATTTCTGCTGCAACATTCGGATGGTAGGGTCAGAATTTGGCATCAACAACATGAAAGCATTGTTCCATCCTTCAGGCTGGTGGTGTTGATGTAATGGTGTGGGGGGTGTTTTCTTGGCACACTTTGGGCCCATTAGTAGTTATTGAGCATTGTGTCAAAGCCACAGCCTACCTGAGTATTGTTGCTGACTATGTCCATCTCTCTATGATCACAGTGTACCCATCTGCTGATGGCTACTTCCAGCAGGATAACATATTAAGTCATTAACGTGAATTAGGCATGGGCCGGTTTAAGATTCTGACGGGATAGGTGCAGTATGTGATTGTCTTCAGAAATGTTTTGCTGTGCTAGTCTCTTCACATTCCAATAGCAATGATTAAAGTAAATGATCTGAATGTATTTATATGTATTTTTATATTTTGGGTAATGCATAAAACTAAAAAATGTTCAGCCAATTAAATAGTCATAATTTCGATAGGAAGCTCAAACTGTCTGTCAGCAAATGCAGCTTTGAACAACTGCGCAGCCATTTGTATGTAGCTCCGCCGACCTGCGCGTTCATGAGAGAGAGCAAGATCGGCAAAAACCTGCTGAATCAAAACTTTTTTAAAAACTGAATTTATATAGGAGAAAGGATGACACCATGGCTGAGTGATTTCTCATAGACAGGTTATGTTCTGTTTTAAAACAATTTTAGCTTCACGCAAAGCAGATTTTGCTGTTACAAAATGGGTTATATCTTGACAGAAGTGTTGTTCAGCCACAAAAATCTTCCGGTGAAAGATTGATAAGACAATTTTCAGTTTCATAAGGGACCTTTTTACAGCATCTATAATGTAGATTTTAATTAGTTTAACAACTTAACACAAGTAAATTCTGCTATTCCACCTAGTCTTTCCCTATATTAATTACCATAAAACTCTAAATACTCGCTCTGAAACAGCATGTCAGTTTGGCTTAGTAATGAGTGTAATTCCTGCACGCCGCTGGACAAGCACTAGTAGCTTTTAACACATGGGAGAAGGTTCTTCTGCTGTCATCTTTAAGGTGCGCGTGCTCCTGTTTCAGAAGGCATTTCCTATAAATTTTTCTTCTTCTGGAGAAAGGCATTTTGTTTTATTTCAGCTAGAATAAAAGCAGGTTTAAATATTTGGAAACCTATAATAGCTCGATATTATTAGCCCCTTTAAGCAATATATATATGTTTGATTGTGTGCAGAAGAAACTACTGTTATACAATGACTTATCTATTTACCCAAATTAAGCCTTTGAATGTCACTGAAACTAGTATCTTGAAGAATATCTATAAATATAATGTGTAAAATATAATGTGCTGTCATCATAGCAAAGATAAAAGTAATCAGTTTTTAGAGATTAGTTATTAAATCTGTTGTTTAAACTGTGCTTTAAGCATCTTCACTGTATTTTTGATTTTTTGTTATTGATTAATAATAAAAACAGTCGGCAGCAGCAGGAATATCGCATGCTCACTTTAAGAATAGTGCGGCTCTGATATGGTTTCTCTTTCTCGTGTCTTTTGATTCTCAACTTGTTAGTTTATTACACAAATGAGGGTTAATATGAATAATCACTAAACACCGCGCTCTCACACAAATGTGCATGTATTTGACCATTAAAGCGCTCACATTAAGATCGCGTTAGATGTGTGTGTGCTCTGCTGTCTGAGGCTAAGCGCGGCGCGCGCAAACACACACTCACGCTACCTGTCCGAGGCCAGACACGGCGCGCACACACACAACAGCACGTGCTCTTTTACGCTTTTAAAATTATGAATGATGCGCATCCCGTGCTGCAAAAGTTACATTACAGCTCATGCTTTTAGTCATTTTCACGTGGAACTGAGCTTTGCAGAGGCAAAGAGTTTTCACAAGTGTACAACTGGAAAGGAGGCGGTACGTAATAATCGTTTATCTCGATTAATGGTTTTTCATAATCGTTAAAAGCCGAAATTGAAATCGGATTTTCGATTATGCCCTACTAAATGTAGGGCCCTACTAAATGCCCTACTAAATGCACTACAGAATGTTACGTTTACACACACAGACTTTCACAGTGTAATACTCACTACTCTTGAGTACTTTTAAAAGGGCTACATTTTACTCATACTTTGACTAATAAACAAATACTTTAACTGTACTTGCACTACATTTTTGGGCAAGTAATGGTTATTTTACTTGAGTATGGTTTTTGAGTACACGTTCTACCTCTGGTCAAATATTATGTACTGTCATCATGGCAAAAATAAATGAAATCAGTTATTAGAAATTAGAAGTTATTGAAACTATTTTGTTTAGAAATGTTAAATCTCTGTTAAACAGAAATTGGGAAACAAAATATAACATAAGGGAAGTTTACTTATAAAATAATTTAGAGAGGATCACGTGCTTTTGATTGCTATCGGCTGGATCAGCATTATCCAATTCTCAATGCTCCAATCAGATGACTCCTAAGCTACTACAAATACCTAATATTTCAGTCTATTCTATCTAGTTACCTATCTGTCCATATAAATATACTTCTTTTTAACTTTTAATCTGCACCACGGCCCGCGGCAGCTTTCTCCTATGCTGTTTCCTTAACCTGCAAGTCTTTGTTTTACAAATTCTAAAGAATGTCTGCTTCTCAAGTCATTCATGTATTTTAGGATGCACTCGGTCAGAAGACTATCGCATGAGATATGACATTGTGTTTTTGATCGTCTGCATGATGTAGGCTTATAGAGACAATAATATTTATACAATATGATTATAATAATATTTATACATGACCAAACTAGTGTGCAACTTAAGCAACTTTTTTTTTACATTTAGTTTTGTAGTTCGGGCCCAAACAAATATTTGTTGCATTTTTTTAATTGTTAAGGTTCATTTGATTGACAATGTAAAATCTTTTAGCTACGTTTGATGTTTCATTGTTGAGTTAAACATTTTTTTAAGGGTATCCGATACATTGCTTTTATTATTTGTCTTTACTTTATTAATCAACAATAACTGTGCATCAGCAGGCAGTTTTTATGTTCATTATTTATTAGGCTCCCTCAAAACACACAGGCACACACAAGAACACAAGATGGACTTCCTGTGTGGATTATCATTTTATTATAATAATAAATAAAAAAAATTAAGTTTTTATTTTGCCAACTCTTGTTATTTAATATAAATGGCTTTTGTGCTTTTATAGAATGGGAGTTGGTAAACATTTTTAAGGGCGTGCACAGATGGTGAGCATTTTGATTGATGTAGTGGGCCGCTCAAGCCCAAAGTGCCAGGGCTGATTTTTTTGTTCCAGTTTTCTTTATTGGCATCGATTGTTTTAAAATTCAATTGGCATTAACAGGCCTGTGTTTTTATTTCTGTAATAAATATGGCTGTCAAGCAGGATCTTGATGGTTTATTGTGGGTATGTTGTTTATATGAAGAAATCCGTGTTACAAGTTAAACAAAAATTCTAATAAACAATTATATTTTGAATTTAAATAGTTTTTTGTCTTGCGTTTACATTAATTTTACATTGGAATAGCCAAAATGACAAGTTTCAGTCTTTAAAATGCGATTAATCACGATTATTTTTTTTTTTTAAGTGTGATTAATTAGTTAATTTATTTTAATCGATTGACAGCACTACTTATAATTAATCATCAGCTAAGTGTGAACTCTTGAATATAAATTTAAAAGGAGTGTTAATAATTCTGACCTCGACTGTATATCCTGACTTGAATCTACCCTTTTATCATCAAAGCATTAATAAACATATGAATATCACAACAACTCAAAATTAAGATCATGCAGGTTTATGAATGAAGATCTCGATCTTTTTACACTCTTACCAACACAGGCTCCCTGCCTGAAGGACATGAGAGGACAGAAGATGCTGTGCAGAGGTTGGGATCCGTGTTGAATGGGAAAACTCCTCTTTAGCTGTAGAGTCCCTTCATTATCTACAACCCTGTCAAAAGCAGATTTACACCGATCAACAATCGCCTAAACTGATAGAATGAGATAATCTGGAGAGTTTTACCTGTAGAGCAGTAGTTTGTTAACACAAGCGTTGACGAGCAGCGATGGATCGCGAGCCTCTCGACTGATCCAGGAACGAGCAGAGATACTGGAGATAGAGCTGCCTTCATTCACCACCAGCCTTTTAGCTTTGGTCAGCTTTCCTACGGTTGTAAAATGCAACATTAATGAGAATACATAAAGATTCAGGGCTTTCATGGTTATGAAATGTGGCTGATGACTATTTGTCTAAGATATAATTGCAATTATAGTGATTAATAGTCTGTTTTGGGGTGCATACAGAGATCTAATACACGGTCAAATATAAACATATACTGTATGTAAAATTACAGTTGATATATTTGCACATATTTGTCATTTATAATAATTGAAAATGGATACAAAAACTGCTATTTTCTGCAATATTTTGAAATATATATTGTACACGCATGATATATATTATAAATATGTATATATTTTTTGATTTGTGTGAAATCCAACTCGCATGTTAAATATGTAATTTGCATACAGTATCATATATATCAGATTTCTATATGAGGGCTCAGCTGAGCTTTTTATGTAGATATTGAAAAAACGGTTTAGAAATTATTGTGATTATTTTATACACACATATATATAGTGCATCTGAAAAGTATTCATATCGCTTCACTTTTTCACATTTTGTTATTTTACAGCTTATTCCACAATGGATTAAATTCATTTATTTCCTCAACATTCTACACACAATACCCCATAATGACAATGTGAAAAGAGTTTTTTTGAAATTGTTGCAAATTTATAAAAAAAAAAAAAACCCTGAAAAAATCACATGTACAGAAGTATTCACAGCCTTTGCCATGAAGCTCTAAATTGAGCTCAGGTTCATTCTGTTTCCACTAATTGGAGTTCACCTGTGGTCAATTCAGTCAATTCAGTGGATTGGACATTATTTAAAAGGGCATACGCCCATCTATATAAGGTCCCAGGGTTGACAGTGCAATTCAAAGCACAAACTAAGCATGTAGACAAAGCAATTGTCTATAGACCTCCGAGACAAGGTTGTCTCGAGGCACAAGGTTGTAAAAGGTTACAGAAAAATTTCTGCTGCTCTGAAAGTTTCAATGAGCACAGTGGCCTCCTTCTTCCGTAAATGGAAGATGTTTGGAACCACAAGGACTTTTTCTAGAGCTGGCCGGCCATATTAGCTGAGATATCAGGGGAGAAGGGCCCTAGTCAGAGAGGTGATCAATACACGATGGTCACTCTGTCTGAGCTCCAGCGTTCTTCTGTGGATAGAGGAGAACCTTAAAGGACAACCACCAATCAGGCCTGTGTGGTAGAGTAAGACGGAAGCAACTCCCCGACTGGAATTTGCCAAAAGGCATCTGAAGGACTCTCAGACCATAAGAAACTAAATTCTCTGGTCTGATGAGACTAAAATTGAACTTTTTGGAGTAAATGCCAGGCGTTACGTTTGGGGAAAAAACCATACACCACTCATCACCAGGCTAATACCATCCCTACAGTGAAGCATGGTGGTGGCAGCATCATGCTGTGGGGATGTTTTTCAGCAGCAGGAACTGGAAGACTAGTCAGGATAGAGGGAAAGATGAATGCAGCAATGTACAGAGACATCCTGAATGAAAACCTGCTTCAGAGTGCTCTTGACCTCAGACTGGGGACACGTTCGTCTTTAAGCAGGATAATGACCTAAAGCACACTGCCAGAACATCAATGGAGAGGCTTCACAACAACTCGGTGAATGCCCTTCAGTGGCCCAGCCAGAGCCCAGACCTAAATCCTATTGAACATCTCTGGAGAGATCTGAAAATCGCTGTACACTGTCGCTTCTCATTCAACCTGATGGAGGTTGAGAGGTACTGCAAAAAGGAATGGGCAAAAATTCCAGATGAGTCAACGCTGTAATTGCTGCAAAAGGTGCATCAACAAAATATTAAGCAAATATAAATAAAACCTCTCTGTTCGCATTGTCATTATGGGGTATTGTGTGTAGAATTTAGCAAATAAATTAATTTAATCCATTTTGAAATAGGGCTGTAAATATACATAAAAAATGTGGATAAAGTGAAGCTCTATGAATACTTTCCGGATGCACTGCATGCACATATTTGTAATTCTAATGATTAAAAATGATTACGCAACCTGCCATTTTTGCAATATTTTCAAATATATTGAATATTTACATGTACAACATATATATTTTTATATCTGTGAAATCAAAACATGAACTTGCATGTTAAGTTAAATATGTGATTTGCATATTTAAACATCTATCAGAATTCTAAATGGAGGCTCTGTCAAACTTTCTGTGTTCTTAGGTATATTAAAATGGTTTAGAAAGTATTGTGATTATTTACATGTACATTCAGTCATTTAGCAGATGCTTTTATCGGCTTACAATTATATATTTAAACGCACCAGCTGAAACTCACATATATTTTAACAGATTTGGGCAGATTTGTAATTCAAATGATTCAAAATTAATATGCAACCTGACATTTTTGCAATATTTTCAAATATATACTGAATATTTACATGTACGACATATATATATTTCTTTATCTGTTAAAGCTAAACATTGACTTTCTATATGGGGGCTCTGTCAAACTTTTTCTGTACTTGGGTATTTTAAAAAAGTTTTAGAAATAGGTTTAGAAATTATTGTGATTATTTAAACATATATGTGCATATTTCTAATTTAAATTAGAAATTAAAAATGAATATGCAACCTGCCTTTTCTGCAATAATTTAAATATATATTAAATATATATTAAATATATATAAATATATATATATATATATATATATATATATATATATATATATATATATATATAAAATATATTTCCTTGTACAACATATATACTTTTATATTTGTGAAATCCAAACATGAACTTGCATGTTAAATATGTGATTTGCATGTATTACCATATAGCCGATTTCTATATAGACCCTATGCAAAGCTTTTTGTGTACTTTACATTATTTAAAAAATGATTGCGATTAATTGACTATTTTGTAAATGAATTTGTAAATGAAGTTGTAAATTTGTGTAAATAGTCAATTTGCACCTTTAAATATGTAAGTAATTTACTGTATTCTGTAAATGTTAGAAACAATTACAACAAATTGACCTAAAAAACAAAATGGCGAGCGCACACACACACACGCACACACACGTGCATTATTGACATGCATAAAAGCATAAAAACATTGTATTATCTTTAGGCAATTAGCTTTTTTCTCAGCAAAGAGTTGATGGCATTGCTTGTATTTGAAGTACTTAAATTAAAGTTGCTAGTAGAGAGATCTAAAGCATCTAAAAACACTTTATTTTGATTTCACAGGGATTTTAAATAAATCACATCTCTGTACCTGTTGCCATGTCAAAGAGGAAAGAGAAAATGCTTCCCCTGTCATCACCAGCCCACAGGATTCTCCCCGGAGCATCAAACGACAGAGAAAGCACTCGGCCGGTGAGTTTGCTGGAGCCTCCTTTCACTTTCTTCCCAGTGGAGATGTTCACCACCTGCAGGTGCTGTTTACTGTTGCCAACCTGGGGACAGAAAGACATTCACAGCTCTCTCTTCTGTGGGTCTTGGTTAAAAATGAACTCAGAAATGTTTATTTTTGATCAAGCACTAGAGAAATGTTTTAGGTTACCAGTGCACACTGTACATAAGATTTCTTTAGTTACATGCATTGAATAGACTGTTTCACTGAGAAATAAAAATTTAATATTAGAATGATATATTATATCACTTTCAACTTATCATATACATGGGTCTAATGTCAAATCTGTAAACTTATAGCATTCAGTTTTTATTGTTGTGTCTTCTTTTTAAAAACGTTTTGAAAATTGTAGTTATTTTTTTTTTACTACAAATGTATTTATTTTTATTATATTTTTCAAAAATGTTAAGGTCTACGTTGCATTTTATACAATTTATTTATTTGTGTTAATTTTTTTCTTAACTAGGAGTGGGATGGAGTAAGGAGGGTTTTAATTTTGCTATCGTAACAGAGGCCAGCTAGTAAAGTGCTGTAAAGGTAACCATCACTCCTTTAAACCCCGAAAAGGTGCTTTAGCGACAGACGCCATGGACATGGTCTTTAGCCGCCTTGTTAGAGCAACAAACTCCCATGCAGAGAGTCACCGGTTCGATCCAGCTTGGAGCGGGTTGGGGGTGTAGGACCGGCGGGGTACCACTACAGTATTTGCTATTGTGTTCTAAATCTTTCCAACAATTGCTTTACATTTAACATTGCTATTTTCTGTAGAAAATTCGATAAACATTTAAAAAACATATTTATTATGTTAAACATATATGTTTTAATTTAACTGTGGTATCAAGCGGCAACCTCCCGCTCTCTCTCAGGAAGCCAATACGGAAGTAACTAAAACTGCAATTCATCCAAAATTCCGCTAGTCCTGGCCGCTCCTGGCTCCAAAACAGAGCAAATTTTAATTGAGCCCACTGTTAGAATGGCCAACTTTACAGCAGAAAAAAAAAGGTGTTTACAGCCCGGTACAAAAAAAGATTTTGGTTAATACAGCTAATATTACCCTTCATGACAACTGTGAGGTGGGTGAATTTTTTTAGAACTCATCCGTTTCCCTTATATTAAGTTATATAAAGTTTGCATAATTAAGGGCGTGGCCACTTGAGTGACAGCTAGGTCTCGTTGGTCGCCGTCACGTCACCTCAGCTGAATCCTGCAGATTAGCCACTGAACTCGGCGTATTTATCGTATTTCTGTGTTGTTTTATGTGGCTTTACACAGTCAACTGCCTTTTAGACTTGTTTCCTACACTTATTTGAAGGAATGTCATGCTGAGTGCACTTAATTGTGCTCACAAACCATTCACGTGGCCTCCGTTTCCCATGTGAGTAAAGTTCTATACTTATATACCATCTCTATACATGTATTCGTTTTATTTAAGATCATTTATCGTTTTTATTTATATTTAGATCTGTAATGCACTCCAGAATCTGACAGATTGATTAGCTGTGGGCTCTAGAACAGTCATCTGAAGCGTTATCATACAGTTTTATGCTGGATTTCATCAATAGTCTTACATTAACTAACACAGACTATATCTGAAGTGTTTGGAAGTAATTTGCGTTTTCCTCCTGTTGAAAAACGTCATAAGAACAATGTTTAGTGGCTCAATGTATTACCGCAGTGTTTTTAAAAGCCTAAACACTTTATTGATATAGTGTACAACCAAGCACAAGTGGTCAGAATACAAACGAGTCACAGGTGATAAAGTATTAAACGTTCTCCCAAAGTAAAGTGTGTCTGAACCAGGTCCATGCAAACTGTCAGCAGGTGTCTGTAGCTCCGCTCACTCTCCGCCTCTTTGCCCTTGTTTGGTATCCCGCCGTGGGTGTGATGACGCGTGAACAAAATGGCGACGGTTGGCCGCGCCTACTTGTGGCTTCTTTTGCGCTCTTTAGAAACCTATGGGTGACGTCACGGACACTACGTCCATATATTTTACAGTCTATGTGTGGTATATATATATATATATGTGGAATACCCCCTCAAGAGATTTTCGATCTTTGATATGTAACCCTTAACAGAACTTTGCATGGCAGGATCTAAACAAACTGGATTTTGGAAAACTGGAAAAAGTGGATTCTGACACGCCCTTAATGCTTTTGCACCCTGCGCTTTGGACTTTGCACCTGGATCATCAAAATAGAGCCCTAATAGTGTTGTGTAGCATAAGCTTTGTATAATAGCATAGGCGGATACAAATATATGCAATGACAAATTGCTAGAAATGAAAGTTAATCTAGAATGCACATTATAAGCAAACCAGAAAAGGTGAATAAAGTAGAAATGTTATCATCGAATACATTTTTTTGTGTATGCATATTTTGCTGTAACGTTTCATATCAAATGTCATTCAGATATGCATTCACAGGTGGCTCACCGCCGTTGTGAGGCTGGCAGATAAGCAGCATTACTCATTTCTCCATTCAAAGTACACTTTTTTTGGCTTGCAGCATGAGCTAATTTCACACTCTAATAGGATTACTGAAAAGACTGATGGTATTTGTTACCGCAGTGTTTCATGTGGACTCACCACAGTCAGGTTGTTGTTCATGGGCTGAAAAGTGCAGCACAGCAGCTCACTGCCCTCAGGGTCGACCACCTCCCGGATGCAGCGTCCATCTTCGGTGTTCCAGATTCGCAGAGTGCCATCTTTTGAAGTGGACACAATGATATCATTGCTCAGCGACCAAGCGAAGTCGGTCACAGGCCCAGCGTGGCCCTTCAGAGTCACCTTTACAGTTGGAGGAGGCGGAGACAGAGTCATGATTGACAACGTCCCATCCAATGAGCAGCAGGCGAGGAGGTGTTTATCGTCATTAGCAAACTGCAAACGGGGAACTGAGGAGATGAATAAGTCAAAAATGTTAATGATCAAATTTAACAAGAGATTGCTGCATTTCTACAGGTTAGTGGGTTTGACAAACCACCTGTAGAAACACTCACAAAATTAGGATGACTTCTTTCCCTAAACTAAAACAGCATGTTACAAAAATCCATGTCTTCAATTATAGCATATCACAATTATTGTTTTTGCATATGCAATCCTTAACCGTATCCTCTTAGAAATAGATTATAAAAATCTGATAGAAAAATGCTAATCATGATCGCTAAATTCTGATAATGCTGTTATAGACTATTTCAGGCAGCATTTTATTTTAAGGAGCTTTTTTTTACATATGCTGTAGAGCTGCTGGATTATGGGAAAAATCAATATCACAATTATTCGCCCTCCTGTGAAGTTTTTTCAAGTATTTTTTTTTACAGTTTTTCCTATAATATTTTTTCTTATAGAGAAAGTCTTATTTGTTTTATTTTGGCTAAAATAAAAGCAGGTTTAAATATTTTTAGGTCTATTTTAAGGTCAATATTATTAGCCCATTGTCTGCAGAAGAAACTATTGTTATACAAAGACTTGCCTTATTGCCCTACTTAAGCCTTTGAATCGTACTCTAATCTGATTAATAATATCTTGAAAAATATCTATTAAAATATAATATACTGTCATCATGACAAAGATAAAAATAAATCAGTTATTAGAAATGCGTTAATAAAGCTATTATGTTTAGAAATGGGTTGAAAAACAATCTTTCCATTAAATAGAAACTTGGGGAAACGGGCTCATAATTCAGCAGGGCTAGTAATTCTGACTTTAATATAAACAGTTATTTTCCTCCCAGTGAATAAGGAAAGGGAAATAAATACAATAGAATAAAAATAGGAAACAAACTGTGCTTTAAGCATCTTCACTGCAAGTAAAAAACTTTAATTTTAGCTACAAAAGTCCTTCAGTCAAGAGCAGGAATATCGCCTGCTGTCACTTTAAGAGCAGTATGATTTATGACTTTCACATGTCTTTTGATTCTCAAATTGTTTGTTATTACACAAATGAGGATTAATATGAATAACCCCTAAACACTGCGTTTTGACATGAACTTGCATGTATTTGACCATCAAAGCGCTCAAATTAAGATGACTTTAGATGTGTGTGCTCTGCTTGTCTCTGAGGCTGAGGTTGAGATTGTTGGTCATTTTTGGGTTAAAACTGTTAATGTTTATGAGTGGGAGAAAAAAAAAATCAACCTTGTTCTCTCTTCTAGGTGCCGTTATAAGTCTCATGCTTTTTTTTTCCTTTCTTTGAAAGTCTCGATAACACTATTGTTGAGTTTTTCTTTTATTATTTGAGCAACTGGGAATGCAAAAAATGAATCTGTTGTACTATCCCCTTCACTGCCCTCTAAGATTACCCAACTATGACTGCTTTTACTCCTGAGTAACAAGAAAAAAGGTATGTTATTCAGAACTGCATGCTAAAAATTCTAAACTATGTGCATACTAACCCTAACCATACAGTAATTACTTGCAATGAATTAATCTTAACCAGTAGATAAATAAACGGTTAAGCTGTAATGTTGATACCCTTAAAATAAAGTGAAATCAATTTTAGTTGCACACAACCCTAATTTTCATCAACAGTTTACTCACCGGCAGAGTCGACATGCTGGTCAAAGATGTGGTGCATGCCAGCAAATGCGTAGTTCTCACTGAGAGTGGTGTCGCCTGCCATTGCCCGACTGGCTTCCGCCACTGAGGTGGGCACCAGGCTTCCTGGAGGCCTGGCAACGAAGATTAAACCATGTAAAATGCATTGATCATTGGTAAAACAAAGGGTTTTTCACCAAAATAACAAAAGTCTTTCTAGGTTTTTTTGTGTAGGCTTGTATTTTACAGATGCCTCTGTTAATGTTTTCAATCAATTATATTTGAGTCACCAAATATTTGAGTCACCAAAAATTCAAAAGTGTAAAATAAAATAAAGCATTTTTGTTCTATAGAGAGTCACCACTTATCCTTTTAATGAGCTTTTTTTTTTTTTTGGTTGAGCAGTTTTAATCACAGATTTTCTACAAAGTATGTTTTATACTGTAAACTCCCAAACATTTTTGGTCACATCAATAACGCATGTTTATTTCCTCAATTTAAAATATAAAATATGCTTACAGATTGATATTTTTCTGATCCCATAACTCTGTGGTTATTTGTTTTGGATAATATAAACAGATGTTTCAAAATAATGTTAAAGGGGTGGTCCAGAGTTTGTTTTTAAGGCTTGGTTGGGTTTATAAAATGCAAAGCAATGCTTATAAATCACGTTATTTTTTCATATATCTTACTTTGATTAAATACAGCTGCTTAGCAAACATGAAAACGACTGTCATATTTTCTTGTTCCTCCGCAAGTCTTGCCCTCAAGAGGCTCTAATTGGTCAGCTAACATAATGTGCTGTGATTCACAGATGGACTCTACATCATGCCCCTATAAGCACGCACTTTTTGTGCTGTATAAACAGCTGTATCAGTTTGCCTGAATCAGACAGAATATGAAGAGCGCACAGCAGAACCTCACGCTTGCTCTCTAAAACAAAACCTGACAAGTGCTTTTCACATATATTCGGAATAAGGATGTGTAAGTAATATGAAACATTCACATATCTTAAGCAAGTTTGTTATGAAATGTAGAAAGCAGGGAAAGCGGCCGCATAGAGAGACACTGCAGCGCTGCTAAAGATTGGGGATGTTTAGAGTGGTTTGACTGATTAATATGAATATGTAGCTAAATTTTTAGTGGTGCCAAACAGCATTTCCCATTGTTTATATCCTTGTTTACGTCCTCTATACAGCATACTATTAACGCTAGTGCACGTAATTGATCAAATTTAACAAATAAAAATACTTACAGGTTGTGGCTCACAATCCACAGCTTCGTTGGTTGCAGGAGTTTTTAGCCGAATCCAGCACTGAACTGAGAGAGATTCTGGAAGCTGTCCTTTGTCAAATGCTAGAGCTATATCTATTTTATAATTCTCTGTTGTGACCTTTGAAAGCCCAAATACAGAAAAAGAAGAAGCTCTGTGGAAATAGCAGCGCTTGGATAGGAACCAGAAGCCTTTGTGATCTCACTAGCCTGGATGTATTTTTTTGTAGTCACCAAACTTTGTTTGCTCTAGGCTTTGCTAAGCTAACTCTGTAAAAGCCAATGTCTCCCTTTGCATTGATCTTTGAGCGCATTACATTCAGAGATGTTGTTTATGTTCACAAAGCTACATTACACATCAACTAAAGTTTAAAATATGATATCGCAGTAGACCACCCATTGAACATCTACTTTCTATGTGAATTTATGTCTTGGTTTTACGGTCACATCCATAACTTTGGAATAGCTCGTTGTGCTGGATCATCTACTAAATAATAGTATTTAGAATCCATAAGTTAATGCCTAGTAATTTAGCTTCTTTTAAATTGTTGTTGCCATAGAAACATTCTGACAGTTAGAATAAGTTAATTGCCTCATTTAAAAAAGAACACCCTACAAGAAGACATTCCAATCCACTCATCCTGTGATCATCTGTGGAAGCAATAGCCCCTTTCACACAGTGCTACCGGTAAATATCCGGAAAATTTCCGGAACTACTTTACCGGTATATTCAAAAAAGCGCTGTTCACACAGGCGAGGACGTTACGGAAATTTTCCGGAAAAGACCGTTCACACATCCATTCCAAAATACCGGTAAATTCTGACATCATTCAACACAAATGAGCTTTAAACGGCTGCGCTTGTATTAGTAAACATTTGACTAAATTACAAACTCTGTGGATGATCAATATTGTGAACAACTTTCGCAGGATCACTTTCTCATGTCGAGATGTTCATAATATGTGCGTGTGCAGGCGCTCACAGGCTGTTTCATAGGCGCACGCAAAGCTTAAAGGTAAACAAACAACGGCTTATCATAAGCATCTCATCGATGATTATTTACACAGTTGGCATTAAGAAGAACATATAAACGTGATCTGACTAACTTCTAGCAGCTAAATGTGTCTGGAAAAATATTCAAAGGTTTTTATTCTCACAAACCGCGCGGACGTGAATGCGTCTGACTGTTGTGATTGGCTAAAGGAGACGTCTCACGTCAGCACGTTCTAGACGTGCACGCGCTTATTACGGTAATCTTCCTTCTGCATTCACACAGCGCAGCATTCCGGCAAATTGCCGGTAATGTTACAACTTCTCTTTCCGGAAAATAGCCAGAACGAATTTACCGGTATTTTCAAAAAGGACCTGTTCACACATACAAGCTTTCCGGAAAATTGCCGGCAATTTTCCGGAAAGGTCTGTATGTGTGAAAGGGGCTATTGTCTGTAAGTTTATTTTCTGTTTGTAATTATATTCGATCTCAAATATTATTGTTATGTACATAAATAACTATAGCTCATTTTATGTCCATCTTTTTACATATTTTCACTCTATTTCAACATACTCAATTTGGCTTGGAATAAACCAGCATTCTTCCACAATCTCACGTGTTGGAAAGAGTTTATCGATCTGTCTAACTTTGGGAAGAGAGACGCCGGAGTGAGGGCAGAGCACTCGTATTTAATTACATTCAATGTAAGCCTTTTTAAATAAGATTTTTAACTCAATATAAATAATGCAAAATGTGTCTGTTTCAAGCAGCAAAACATTTGATGATGATCGAGATGCCACCTCAACCTCATTTTTATCCATGTAAAACAACAAGTGTTTGTGGGGTTTACCTTTCATCATACACCGCTCTGTTCATCTGGGCCTGCAACTGGTATGAACCACGGCTTACTGATCTCCGGTGGCCTCTGGCACCCTGAGCCCTGGGATCCTCCTCAAAGTCCTACAGAAACACGGAAAAAAAGAATAAAAAAAGACCAAGAAAGGAGGAAACCAAGGCAAGGGAGGTTTTAAGGGTGATTTTTGAGTTTAGCACTACAACAGCAACATAAAGCCCGTCATGCATAATAGAGCTCGCAATCTACATGCACTGCAGCTCTCACACGACACAATGACCTGGATCTGGATTGCTATTTATATCTGGGACTATAAAGATATTTTAATCTTTCCCTCTGGCTGTATTTTTGTAGGGGCTTAATACAGCCCGGAACTCCTAATTTTTGTTTCTCAACCCCCTTTTTTTTTTCTGAATGCACCTAACCTCCATGCGATCCAGTGTGGTGCGGGAACTGCGCACACTGCTGGCTCTGAAGCTGCTCTGCTCTGACAGAGGCCCGTAACGCAGGGCGAGCAACTGACTGCGCAGACGCAGATACTGCCTGCGCAGCCCCGGCTCAAAGCCACACTTGGCATTCTCGCGGAGCAGCTGGCTGCGCCGGCGGATGTACTGCGTGCGGAACTGGGGGAACGTAGGTGTGCGGTAAGCATTGTACCTGAGGGAAAAAGGCAGAGACACATAATTAGACACTACAGATGTAAAAAATGTATGCAATGAAAGACTTCAGGGAGACGTTGCACATACCTTGCGTCCACTGCCAGCACCTGCTGCCAAACAGCAGCCATGAGATCCACAAACACAGAGAGATGCAGGAAACACAAGGGCTACAGGAAAACACAAAAAAAAAAATAATAAATAAATAAAAGTTGTATATGTCATTAGAAAAAAAAAAAAAAAAAAAAAAAATATATATATATATATATATATATATATATATATATATATATATATCATTACATAGATTACATAAAAACTAAATAAGCCTAAAACATAAAGCAATAAATATTGATAACCTAATTAATTAGAGCTGTGAACCTACACTAGTCTCAAGGTTCGGTTCGGTTACGATTATCATGCCATCGATTCGGTTCAATTCGATATTTCGGTGCATCACGGTGCATTGACGGTGCTTTCCATACACAGTTTTATATTTTCTTCACAGCAGCATTTCTTGTATTAAAATGTATGAATATATTTATATTTATATACTATTTGTAATACAATTTTGTCATTTAATACAAACAGTCAGATATATAAACTGTAACTTTAAACAAAACGAGCATTTAGCAAATAATATAAACAAATATAAATATCCAGCTCAATTTCTGATCCTTGTCTAGTTCTACACCCCTTTGATTAGTCACACCCTCAAAAAAAAACGGTGGCGATTGGCTCTTGCGCGCTGCCTTCTTCACAGATGAGTGATACTGATAAGCGGCTGGCGGCAGCGGCGATCTCACAGCTGATGTATGATTGACACGGTGGAGAAAACTCTGCAGACACGCGCTCGTTTCTGTATGCAAAAGTAATGCTGTAAAACAGCCGAGAAGAGAAGAAAAGCCACGCCAGCAGGTCAAATGGGCCACTGTGTGTGTGTGAGAAAGAGAGAGAGAGAGACAGAGCAAAAGAGAGAGAAATGGAGTAGGCTACTTTCATTCTCTCTATCTCAGTGAAATAGGGGCTATTGTTGTATATGTCAGTGAAAGACTGATCCAGCAAACACACACAGTGAAGTTGTGCACAGTTTATGAGTTTTAAGTAGTTAAAGTGCTGTAAATACTCACGATCGCCTCCCTCGCGACAGAGCGCATATGAAGTAAATGACGTCAGTAATAACCAGTTATGATTATTACTGAACCGATACCAAATTGTCCGCTGCTGAATCGCAGTGCACCGAAGAAACGATTAATTTTGACACCCCTAATATATATATATATATATATATATATATATATATATATATATACACACACATATACACACACACACTGCACAATATATCATTTCAGCATCGACATGGCAATGTGATCATTTGCAATCCGCTTGTTAAGTGTGACGTCACGCGAAGCGGCTTCCGAGTCCAAGCACTCTATTCAACTGAATGGGGAGACTCATGAAATGGGAATAATAAACGTTTACAAAGTGATTTAATGCTTTTGAAAATCACGATCGCAGTATATATGTCCATGCCCAATATCCGATGGCCAGAAAGTGATTCATTTTTTTTTATAAATTGTTACATTTTTGGTATTTGTTATGCAGCAAGCCCAGAGATTGTTGTGTACACTATGTTTTTATATAAAATGAACTTTAATGTGTGATAGGAATAAAACGTGATCCTAAATGAATGATTTCTCCACTCAAATGAATGGCGGCTTGGACCCGGAAACAGTATTACATTCGTCACAAACACGTCACCACTTAACAAGCGGATAGTCACATTGCAGAATATATGCAATGTTGAGTTTGTATTATATTTCATCATTTGCATGTTTTACTCATTTGCTCATTTCATCATTTGCATGTTTTACTACCTGTGATTGTATAATGATTTAAAAGCATTTAGGTATAAGAAATATTTGTGACCTTAACCACAAATAATTGTATTGAATTATCTTAATTTTTATCATTCCTATACTGTACTTGAATATAGTTACAGCAATATATTAAACACTTTTTTCATTTGTATCTTTTTCTTGGTTGTATTTATAGATTGATATGCATTAAAATACTCACAACACATGCAAATACAGATATGCACTGCAAATAGCACAGACCACAAAGAAAATGTGTCAGGGGACCCCAAAAAGTTTATAGATTGTTTATTAGATTTTATAGAGATGCAAATAGTAAACATTAATTCATCAATCTCTGACTAAACATGTGCATGAAAATACTCACAACATATACAAATACAGAAATGAACTGCAAATAGCACAGACAAAAACGAAAATGTGTCGGGGAACCCCAAACAAATTATAAATTGTTTATTAGATTTTATGGAGACGCATTTCCATTGCAGTATCATCCCAATTGATCTAACTTTATAAATTCTTTTCAAATAGAGATATTAAGTCATCTGGTGAAATTGTATTCATATTGCAATATATACCCAAAATAAAAAATATCGCAATGTTACATTTTTTCCAATATCCTGCAGCCCATATCAGAAAATTAAAGAATGAATATATACACACACCCTTTGATTTTTTTTTTTTTTTCTTAAATATTTCCTAAATGATGTTTAACAGAGCCAGGAAATTTTCACAGTATGTCTGATAATATCTTTTCTTTTGGAGAAAGTCTTAATTGTTTTATTTTGACTAGAATTAAAGCAGTTTTTAATTAATTTATTTTTTTAATTTTGGGATGAAATTATTAGCTCCTTTAGGGTAATTATTTTCCAATAGTCTACGGAACAAACCATCATTATACAATAACTTGCCTATTTACCCTAACCTGCCTAGTTAACCTAATTAACCTAGTTAAGCCTTAAAACTTTACTTTAAGCTGTATAGAAGTGTCTTGAAAAATGTCTAGTCAAATATTATGTGCTGTCATTATGACAAAGATAAAATAAATCAGTTATTAGAAATAAGTTTTTAAAACTATTATGCTTAGAAATGTGCCGAAACAATCTTCCCTCCGTTAAACAGAAATTGGGGGGAAAAAATAAACAGGGGGGCTAAAAACTTAGGGGGGTTAATATTTCTGACTTCAACAGTATATATATATATATATATATATATATATATATATATATATATATATATATATATATATATATATATATATAAGAAATCCATTTTAAATTATATTACATTATAAAGTAGTTCAAGATTACAAAATATTTGACTAAATTAAAAATTAACAGCTAATTTGCATAGTTATTTAATAACGCTAATTAATGACAGATATAACATTGTCACTTTAATATAACAATTTTTAGAACAAGTTTATATTTATTTTTCTTATTTTGGGTTATAAGGAAAATACGTCAATACCAAACAATAATATTTAACTTTCTTATTTCTGTCTTTAGAAGTCAGAATGAAAAGAATACATTAAATGAACGTGGACTAAAAACATTATTATTCCCAAAAATGACATGTTGGCTACTTGTTCTTATTTCTCCCACATACTATCACAATATAGCATGAATAACCAAACACGGTGTTTAACGTACATATACAACTACAAAATGATTCATATTAGTGCACGGGATGATCTTGTCATTTATTCTTCAATCAATGTTTTGACGCATTAGCCACAGTTAGCAAGAATGCTAATAACAACAGCTGTTATACTCCGCTTAACAACCACTATATAAACATGTCAGTTTGTCTGAGTCCACAATATTTAGTTAATAAACCTTTCAGAATGTTTATTTCTTATCGAAGAGTAATTTCAGTGTATGATTTGATATTTAAAGGACACCTACCGTGCAAGATTCTCACCGGTTCATGCTGTCTGAAGGATTGGCTTGATCACGTGACCGACCCGCCCTGACAGCAACTGATCTGCATATGACTGACGTCACTGCAGCGCGTGCACGAGGACTGGTTTATATATGATGTGTGTTGTGAAAGATGGACATCCTGTAAATATAATTGATGTTTACATGTACGTGCGGTAAAAACAGTGTTTTCGTTACATTTACACTAGCTTTAGTACATAAAGAATCTGAATCAGTTAATGAGCAAGGATCATCAAAACAATGTCTGTAGACTTCAAGTTCAACAGCATGACAGATGTTTTAGATGAAAGGCTCACATATAAACAGTGATGGAAAGACTACTGAAAAATCAAGTAAATCAAAATACTCAAGTAAAAGGACCATTACTTACTCAAAATGTAGTGCGAGTAAAGTAAAAGTATAAGTTTTACTCAAAGTATGAGTAAAAAGTAACCCTTTTAAAAGTATTTAGGAGTAGCGAGCATTTTTCTTAATTGTGTTTTAACAATACAATCATTTTAACCATAACGATGGATGACATCAAGTACAATGATAAACAAGAAAAAATATAAATAAGTAAATAAAATAATACTAAAGTAAAATAATAAAAGAACAGGCTACAGAGGAAAAACTATCATATAAATAATAAATAATGTTAAATATTCATTCATTCATTTTCTTTTCGGCTTAGTCCCTTTATTAATCTGGGGTCGCCACAGTGGAATGAAGCACCAACCCATCCAGCACGTTTTTTCGCAGCGGATGCCCTTCCAGCCAAAACCCATCCCTGGGAAACATCCACACACACACTCACCCACACACATACACTACAGACAACTCAGCCCACCCAATTCACCTGTACCGCATGTCTCTGGACTGTGGGGGAAACCAGAGCACCCGGAGGAAACCCACACGAACGCAGGGAGAACATGCAAACTCCCAACAGAAACGCCAACTGACCCAGCTGAGGCTCGAACCAGCAATCCTCTTGCAGTGAGGCGACATCACTACCTATTGCGCAACTGCGTGACCCAATATTTACAGTCACAAAGAAAATTCTGCAAATTAAGTAATGATGAAGGAAATTTACATTTGTGAATATATATTTACCCAATAAAATAAATAAATTGCCTATAAATTCTAAGTTATGTTTGTCAAAAAGATGAATAAATCAGACCAAAACACTTTAACTGATGCATTTACATGCAGTCTGTGCATGTACATGTGTAAATGTAACATTCTGTAGTGCATTTAGTGATTATTTGGTATTTTAGTCATCAGTAGGCATCCTTCATCTTCTCATCAATGGCATGCAGTCTAAACAGACTCTTGGTCATTGTGTGTAACAGTTTTAGACATCTTCTTGCACACTTTTAATGCTTCCAAAAGGTTTGCTGCACCTGTAAAGTGCCCATGTCATGTAGTTGTTCAGTATGATGCGATTTACTTTATACACTGTAAAAAGTGAAAACTTAAACAAATTACTTCGACTTGTTACAATTAAATGAATAAAGTTTGACAAACTTAATTTATGACAGTTTTCAGTATAAAACAAAAAAAAGTTATTTTAGGTGTAACAAGTTTTAGTAATTTGTTAAGGGTGGCGCAGTGGTGGAGTGGGTAGCACGTTTGCCTCACAGCAAGAAGGTTGCTGGGTCGCTGGATCGAACCTCGGCTCAGTTGGTATTTCTGTGAGGAGTTTGCGTGTGGTAAGACGTGCGGTACAGTTGAACTGGTTAGACTAAGTTGTCCGTAGTGTATGAGTGTGACAGGCCCAAATTACAGGCCGGCCGGAAGGTGTAAAAAAGTCGTTATCATATGGAACTTAATTGTTCCAAAAAAGAGCCGACCCCGCAATCATACAGGACAAAGGCCAAAGAAGAAGATACGTAATAGTAATTTATAAGAAGATAGTAATTTATTTAAGAAAACAAGAATGGAACATTATATACAGTACAAATTTTCACGAGCAAAGAGGTGAACTCAAATGCAGAAAAACAAAAGTCTTTAAGGAGTGGGTCTCAGAAAAAGTAAAAAAAAACAAAGTAACCCAGTTGGGTGAACACTGAGGAAGCACCAAGGAAAAATTCAGAAACAACAGCCGCTCACCGGAAGTCCTGGACACAAATACAGGGTGAGTAACAGAATGCTTCACACAAACACACAATTGACAACATACTATCAAACATGAAGGGAAATGACGTGCTATAAATAGGAAAAAAGGCAATGAGAGGCAGGTGGAATAAATTGGCTGAAGTAACATGTGCTCCTGTGACTGTAAATAAAAGCAGGTAAAAAGAGGTAATCTGTAACTATTAATGGTGAACAATACTTATACTTGCTATAAATGAAATACTATGACTTGTTACATTTAAAATAGCCAACTTAATATATTACTGAAAACTGTTATAAAAATAACTTTGTCAAACTTAATTCATTTAATTGTAACAAGTCAAAGAATTTTTTTTAAGTTTTTTACTTTTTAAGGTGTGCAGTTGAAGTCAGAATTATTTGCCCCCCTTTTAATTTTTTTTCTTTTTTTAAATATTTCCCAAATGATGTTTAACAGAGCAAGGAAATTTTCATGGGATGTCTGATAATATTTTTTTTCTGGAGAAAGTAATTTTTTTATTTCAACTATAACAATAGTTTTGAATTTTTTAAACACCATTTTACGGACAAAATTATTAGCCCCTTTAAGCAATTTTTTTTCGGTAGTCTACATAGCAAACCATCATTATACAATAACTTGCCTAATTACCATAACCTGCCTAGTTAAACCTTTAAATGTCACTTTAAGCTTGAAAAATATCCAGTCAAATATTTACTGTCATCATGGCAAAGATAAATTAAATCAGTCATTAGAAATGAGTTAGTAAAACTGTGTTGGGTGTTTCGGTTTTCCCCACTGCCAAAGACATGTGCTACAGGTGAATTGAATGAGCTAAATTGGCCGTAGTGTATATATAATGGCACTCCATTATCCAAGCTGGAAATATGATCTTTTAAAGTAACCAGTCTGACGCGACGAACTCATCCAAGTCGTTATATTCTTTTCTTGTGTTTATTTGTTCTTCAAAGCAGGAACAATCCTTTTCTTTATATAACGATACAATATGGAACGACGGTCAAAAACTGTATCACTCCGTCTCTTCCTCTCTTTACAACAAGGATATGACGTGATCAGTCATCAATAAGCAAAGGCATAATTAAAGCATGCAGTAATAATTTAAACATTATTTTGATTGTAGACAATATAAATGCAATAAACAAATAACAATAACTATACATAATATTTTACAACTTGCATAATAGATATGGCTCTAACATTCCGGCCCCAAATTGTATAGGAGCGAGACTATATCAATTACCACTTATTCTTTACAGAGCCATAAGTACTGAGTTCCCTTTTTTTTTTTTTGTCCTTTGCTTGTGGTTGCATTTATCAACTCAAATAGTCTCTTCTAACAAACAAAGCTTAGTAATAGGTCTTTCTAATGTATTGGTTCTTGTTTGCACCACAACACGTCTGACTATCCCCTTTGAGTCTGGCTTAGTCTTTATGATCCTGCCCATCAACCATGAGTTTCTTGGTGCAGAGTGATCCACTATCAGGACCACATCTCCTATTTGCAAGTTCCTGTGGGCCTTAGACCATTTTTGACGTTCTTGCAATTGAGGCAAATATTCGGCAGTCCATCTGGTCCAAAACAGATCTGAGAGATACTGCACTTGCTTCCAGCGCCTGCGTGCATAAAGATCCTCTTTTCTGAATATGCCTGGTGGCAGCATCGCTTGCGTTTTTAACAACAATAAGTGGTTTGGTGTCAGCGCATCCAGATCATTTGGATCATCTGATGACTTTGTGATCGGTCTGTCATTTACAATGGCCTCCACTTCGCATAAGACTGTTTGAAGACCTTCATCGTCTAAGTTTTGCTGCTTTAACACAGAGTTAAGCACTTTCCGTACTGTACGAATTTGCCTTTCCCACACACCTCCGTGGTGGGATGCTGCAGGTGGGTTAAAGATCCAGTCAATGCCCTTTTTGCTCATTGCATCTTGTATTTTGTTCTGATTTAGAGCTGCCATTGCTTCTCGCAGTTCTTTATCTGCACTTATAAAGTTAGTTCCCTGGTCTGAACGTATAACAGCAACCTGTCCTCTCCGACAGATAAAACGACGTAAGGCATTTATGCAAGAATCTGTGTCTAAAGAATGAGCTACTTCTATATGAATTGCTCGGACTGCAAGACATGTAAAAATAACGCCATATCTCTTAACCAGACTGCGGCCTCTTCTGATTTCCAAGGGTCCAAAAAAATCAATACCGACGTTGGTGAAGGGAGGCTTGTCCCCTACAACTCGATCCTCAGGCAAATCTGCCATCTTTTGTATTAGAGGCTTAGCATGCATCCGTCTGCATTTCGAGCATTGTGCTATGACTTTTCTAATTGCAGAATTTGATTTTGGAATCCAGTACTTTTGTCTCAATTTTGCCAACATATGGTTCCTACCACTATGTCCAAGCTCTTGATGTATGTGTTGAAGAATCAGAGTAGCAATGCGTAAGTCTTTAGACAAAATAACTGGATGCTTATTCTCTTCTGGCATTGCAGATTTATTTAATCTGCCTCCCACTCTCAAAACTCCATCCTGAAGCACTGGATCCAGCTTGTAAATAGGACTGTTCCTTTTAACTGGATGTTTATTTCTTAGCAAAGTTGTAATCTCCTCTGCAAACTTCTCTCTTTGAGCGAAACAAATTAATTCAGTCTCTGCTCTTTCTAACTCGTCCACAGTAAGAGCATCGCTCCACCAGTTTTCTTTGTAGTTTTGCATTTTTTGGATAAGCAAGATGTTGCGTTTACCCGGATTACTTTCCTTCTGATGAATTACATCTTTCAATTCCTTTCTTTTCTTTTGCTTGCACAGCAACACCTTTTTCAACCGCATAAACCAGGCTACTGCTCTTTTTAATTGATGCCACTTAGAGTAGTAGTCGATGAGTTGGTTAACAGCG